ACACACACACACACACACACACACCCTTTATACCACAACCACAACTGAGGTAAGAAACATCTGTATCACCACAAACTGTTCTACTGTCTCCTTCTGCTTTACACCATCACGTGTCAAACTTTTCTCTTTTAGAATTTCCTAAAAAGGAATCAGAGTATAAGCTCTTTTATACCTTCTTTCACTCTGCTCAGTGTAATTTATCCATCAGTACCTTGTTTCTATTGATGAGTGTCTTTCTAGTATATGGATATGCTACAGTATTTACCAATATGCTTATGGACATTTGAATTGCTTCTAAGAGCCTATTATAAAATAGAGCTGCTGAAGTTATTCAGGAATATACCTTCCTGTGAACATGGCTGATATTCCTTGTGCACAACGATAAAATGAAACTATTCAGTTAACCATCAATAAACATACAGTTGTTTCTAGTTTAGGTCTATTATTAGGATAAATATATTTATATGTATATGTAATAAATTATATATTAGAATGTATGTATTCTAATATAATTATATATTCTAATATATTTGTAATATATTTTTATAAGGTATCTATATCTATATCTACATCTATATCTATATATAATCCCTTTTTGTGTGTGTGGTACTGGGTATTGAATCTCTGACCTTCTTACTGAGCTATATCCCCCCCATTTTTAAAGAATATATTTGGTTGTTGCAGGTTCTTACTGTGCAGCTCAGACTGATGGTGATCCTCCTGCTTTCAGCCTCCCCAGTGCTGGGATTATAGGCATGTGCCACTACTCCCAACTCTGGCCGGCTCAGCCCACTCTAGGGGCAGGGTTGGCATGGCATGTGGCGCTGCGCTTGCCTAAGCTTGCCTAATTAGACAATTTAGTCCACTGAGCTATCTTGCAAGCCCTCCCCACCTACTTTTAACAAATTCTTATTCTCTGAAAAGTTCTTACTAAGACATTGTACACATTTTTGTGTATGTTCCTTGATAAGTTATTTATTTTTTCCTGGATAGATACTAAGCAGAATTGCTAGATCATACAGTAAATATATACATAACCTTACTTTAAAAACTGTCAAGCTATTTTTACAGGGTTAGTATGACATTTTACATTCTGTTCAGTCAGTAACCTATTGCAGAACAAGTTGCTCCCTATCCATTCCAACACTTAATCAACATTTAAATCTGAGCCACTGTAGTGGGTGTACAATGGTTTTAATTTGTATGTCCCTGATTAATTAGTATGTTGATGTGTCTAACAATTTGTATATTTTCTTTTCCAAATGTCTGTTAAAATCTTATGACTAAGTTTTCGGTAGCTTTCTTTGGTCATGTTATTATTTAGTTGTATGAGGTATTCATAGCCTCTAGAGGCAAGTCCTTTGTCGAATATATGTATTGTAAATATGTTTTTTGTCTGTTGGGTATTTTTTCAGTCCTCTTTTAAGTTCTAAATAGAAGTATTAAAAGATGATATTTTATGTACCAAGTTTCGATGGATCATTTCTACATCTGACTCAGGAAGTCTTTGATTAAAAGAAAGTCATAGATATTTTTCCTAGGTCATACTTCCACAAATTTTACTATTTCTGCTTTTACTTTTAGATCTATAAATGATTTCAGATTATTTTTGTATATATAGTATGAGGTAGAACTCTCCACTTATTTGAATATGTCTTGCATGGATTTTTGCTGTTCCACATACCTCTCAACTTCAAGAGCCATTTCCCGAAATGTCAGCTTCTGTATACTTCCTTAACTCTGACATTTCTCCTTTCAATTTAGCAAGGTCAATGTGAACTCCTTGGGATTTCCTTCTCTACCATAAGCTCTTAAACTGCCTCTGAGTACAAATCCAAAATTACTATAGATCTTGCATTATTTTTCCCTTCACTCAATTATATATTTCCAATTATCTCAGCTCTGTGTACCATGTCTGAAAAATATTGTTTCATATTGTTTTGCCATTTTCCCTATCTTTGTGGAAAAAGGATAATTTCCATCATGACTACAAATGGAAGCCTATGTACTTGTAATTTAATCATTATTGCCCTTTCAAAAGGTCCTCCACAAATAGGCTTATAGCAGCAGTGGCAAACCTTTGGTATGCATTTTTATGCTTTTAAGACAAAAGACGTTAATGTAGAGTTGGTTTTCTTCTAAACTTAAACCTCAGTCACTTGGAGATAAGTAAATTGCTTAAATAAGTATATATGCTGGATGGGATCCTATAGGTCCAGAGAACAAAGGAAGCTGGAAAAGGAGATATAGGTTCCAGGTTACACCCACAGTGACCTGCCTCTTCCAATGAGGCCTTATCTCCTGATTATAGAAAGTCAGCTATAATGCCCCTACAATTCAATCATCTTCCAAACATACCACCACCTATGACCATGTAACTTTTTTTTGGGGGGGGGGGGCATCTAGATATAAACCATAGCAAACAGTCTTCTGCTCCTATGCTTTTAAAAATTTACTTCCTTTTACCTTGAATATCTGTAGCCTACTGCCTCTTACTGTGTCAGTCTTCCAAATACTGTGCAGAGATATTCTCTTCAAGCAAATTTTCTCATCAAGTCAAAAGTATAGCTTTTCTTAAATTCTGTTGCCGCCTTTTATCTGCATTGAAAGTGCAACATATATCAAATTAAATGAGTATTGACCACATCTCTTTTTTTTTGATTATGTGAGTGGTCACTGCTGTATTTAGCGCATAATACTTGACATTTGTTAAAATTATAATTAGGTTAATAGCATTCATAAATTCATTTCTTGAATTATGAATCCTTCACATTTTTACTAAATTATATTCACTATAGACATATGCTTTTCATATTTCACATAGTTTTAAAACATAAAAGTAGAATATTATAATGAATCATTAGCCATAATTACCACCTATATTTTTAGAAGTAGGAAATCTATTAGAAATTTGGTCCCACACCAACTTGATTTGTTCTCCTCAGGGATTTGTACGTAAAATGTGGATACAGATTCATGCCTCTGGGATCTTAGTTTTCCTGAATTTTAACAGCAACGAAGACATCACCACTCTCAAAAAGAGCTATAAATTACAGTGTGTGACTAGGAAGTGAGAAAATTGGGTTTTATTATAGACTAAAAACTGAAAAACATTTCACAAATATTCTAAGTGGCCAATACATGTTACAGAACCGTCTGTAAAGGCAGTTCTGGCCACTTACAACTTAACTCAAGAGAAATCAGAGGAACTGTGTTTTTTGTTTTTCTTTTTTTTTTAATTGGCCCTCTTCAATGTTAGTAATAGAAAAAGCTTATCCCTGCGTTCTTCCTAAATCCCACTGACTGAAGATTATGGTAATTTGAATTAATTTATCCCAAAAGGAGAGGCCTAAAGATGATTTCATAATTGTTTTGAGCACAAGAGTAGGAACACCAGACCAGACCTCTTCCTCAAGGCCACAGGATGTTTTCTGCCCTGGTAAGGCTGGCAGAGATGAGGGGGAACAGGGTTTTTGAAAACTACAATCGAAATCATAAGCAAAGGATCACGCTTTAAATGGTAGAAGAATGAAAGAACAAAGGCTAAAGCTGTACCTGATTATGAACAGAACCATTAAGGCAATACCTTCCTGGTACCCACCCTCTCAGGACTTCACTTGGCTCAGCACAGGCCAGAACTACACTTCCCAGAATGCAAAGCGCGGGGGCAAGTTGACGTAAATTATTACCTCAAAGGGGCTCGGGGCGTTTCAGGTTTAATTATACACTGTAAACTCCAGTCCTTCTGCCGGGGTTGGCTTCCTCCTCAGCCCAATTGGTTCGGCAGCCCGTACGTGAAAAGGCGGCTCAGATGTCACTGGAAGCTCTTGCATGGAGGCCCAAACCCTGCGACCTGTCGGTAGTTGAAGTCCGCGGTGGGATTCGAGCGGTAGTATCTAGGGCTGTATTAGAGCCAGCGGACTACATTTCCCGTAGGGTAGCGGGGCCGCCGCTGGCGAGGGGGCGGAGCCTTGCTTAAGGTCCAGTCATCCCAAGCACCTTCGGCGGGACTGTAATGGCCGGAGAGATGACGATCTTAGGTCAGTGCCCACCTGGTCCCTGTTCTCTGTCTTTGAGGCGGGCGTCGGGGAAGTCTGGGGAGGCCAGAGTGGGCGGATGGTTGTTTCACTTTGCGGAGCCCCCTGGCGCAGCGGGAGGGGAGTTAGCAAGGCAATTTACAGATGGAGTAAGTGGGGGTGGACAGTGGTGGGAACGCGCTGCATCTGTCCTGAGGACGCCGGACTGAGCGAAACTCGGCTCGGAATTGCTGGCTGAGTGCGGGCGCCGGAAGGTTCCCAGGGCCGCTTTTGTGGAGGAAGCGGGAGGACCCCCGTCGGCATCCGGAGCTCTGGACGCCTGGCTGGCCGAGCTGACGATGTTGGGTTTGGGAAGATTCGGGTGCCGGTACTCTTCCCGCCACATCGAGTCGGGAATCGCCTTCCCCGCCTAAGAACGATGAAATGCATCTGAAACCTACCTGAGGGTGTAACAGGGAAGTGGGATTGGCTCTGGGTGTCGTTTTTTGGGTGAGTTGTTGAGGATGAGCTGTCAGAACTGCAGACTGACGTTTGGGGGCGTGTAGCAAGGCCCCTGGAACTAAGAGTGACTTTAAATTTAGAGTGTTGTCTTTTTTCATTTTTGTTTACTGTAGCCGTGTCATTGGTTCATATTGAGTTGTTTGGCTTTAATTAGTATTTGCTGAGCGTCTGGTGTTCCTGTCATGGAGGATACAATAGGGAGGCAAAGTTGCCCACGCGTTGCCGTCAGAATTGCTCACTTTTATGCATCTCCTAATATTACATATCTAGCCCTAAATAAATATTGAAATATTTAAGAGTTGGCTCTGCAAGAATTGTGGCCTTAATTCTTATTTAATTACATGAAAAAGTAGATATGCTCGGTTACAAAGTGACAGTTTAATACCTAACTTTTGAAATCATTGCCTCCAGTTCATGCATTTGCAAGAGAAAAGGAAGAAAGATGGCTTTAGCTTAAAGCCTTCCATGTGAGTTCAGTTAATAGCGTTTCTTTTTAGTAATGATTACTAAAAATGTTTAGAAAGCTGTAAAATCTAAATATTACTTGACCACAGAATTCAACCATATCTGGCTTTTGTTTCAGATGGTTTTTCCAATCAACCTCAGCAGTATTATCACCGAAATATTATGTTTTATTTCCTTATTCCCTTGTTAGTGAACTACATAAACATAAGGGGCTGTTTGTGTTGCCAATACCTCATTTTTAATTATATCAGTTTGATGTATAAGGAAAATGTTACTAGGTTTATAAGATAAAATATTTAGAGATGTGTGTTTTGGGTTTTGTTTTATAAAAAGGTATAAGAGGTCTTTGCTAAAGTTACTTGCCTGATAGTGTCTTTTATGCCTATTTTCAGGATCCGCTGTTCTGACTCTCCTCTTGGCAGGCTATTTGGCACAGCAGTATTTACCATTGCCCACTCCTAAAGTGATTGGCATTGACCTAGGCACCACCTATTGTTCTGTTGGAGTGTTTTTTCCTGGCACAGGAAAAGTAAAGGTGATTCCGGATGAAAATGGTCATAATAGTATACCCAGCATGGTGTCCTTTACCGACCATGATGTTTATGTGGGCTATGAGAGCTTGGAGCTGGCAGACTCAAATCCTCAAAACACAATATATGATGCCAAGAGATTCATAGGTAAGGTTTTCACCCCTGAAGAGCTTGAGAGTGAAATGGGCAGATACCCATTTAAGGTAAGAGATTAACGCAAAATCTTTCCTACTGTTTATTTAGTAGACCTATTTCAGTTTCTGTTTTGATGTCACATTACAAAACATTCTATCACATGTCTATTGGAGTTACCTTAGTTCACTTAGGGGGTTCCACAGCAGCTGCAGAGTGAGTTAATGCAGTGACTCCCCAGGCTGTGAAGGATTTAGGGCTCACCACATACTGCACTACCATCCTCAGAATGACTGCCTGACTCTTTCCAGGTAGCACGAAGGTTCATGGAACACCGTGTGCTTACTATAGGTAGGCAGTGTGTGAGTGTGTACGTTTGTGCACATGTGAAGAGCTCAAGCTAGACATGGTATTTTCTGATTTACATGAAATTTATTAGTGTGTTATATACAGTGAGGAAGTATGCGTTATCTTTTAGTGATTATGTGAAATGACTGGTCCTCTATGAAATGATTAGTCCCCTATCAGTGTACAATATCTTATTTTTGTGATAGCACAATTATCTCAGAGGTTGGGCCTATGCATGTGTGTACCTCTAGGTCTCTTACTGTGTTCTGTTATATAAAATTCTTCAGGATTTTATAATCTTTATTTAATGATAAAATAATCTAAAGCAGTACATTTCCTCTAAATTAAAACTATATTACTTACTGATGTAACAGTTGTTTTACATTACAGTTGTCTTAGTTATTCTTCTCTTGTTGCTGGGACAAATACCTGACACTCAAAATGAAGGAAGGAAAAGTTTGTTTAGCTCACAGTTACTGTAGTTTTCAGTCCACATTTAGCTGGCTCCAAGGCAGAGTGTACTTGGCAGAGGACAGCCTTTCAGGGCAGTGGCAAAGAGCAGAGCAAAAAGGAGGAGTGGCTACAGCTCAAGCAGCTAGCTTCTCTTAGCTCCTTACATTGTAATGTAATTTACCTGCTCCAGGTTAAGTGCAGCATCCACCCCACAATAATGAATCACAAACTCTAGAAACTGCCCTATGACTGCATGAGCTGGGGCGGGGGACAGCTAGACACAAACTGTAACAACAGTTTTTAGGTGATTTGATTCTTTCATTGTTTTTGATGGTACTGGTATCTTTGTATGTTTTATTACTAGCATCTGTGTTGCTCGGATTTGTTTGTTCCAGGGTGGTGAAAAGATTTTGTAGACAGTAAGATTTTCTTGGGCCAGCAAGATAGTTTAGCAGACTAAAGGGCCTGCTTGGGCAAGCCTAAGCAAGCACAGGGACCATCCATCACGGCATGTTGCCAGCCCTGCTCCCAGGCGGGCTGAGCTGGTCAGAATCTGGCCATAGTGACACACACCTATAATCCCAGCACTGGGGAGGCTGAAACAGGAAGATCAGTATGAGTCCAAGCTGTACAGTGAAACCCTGTAACAACCAAATACATTTAAAAAAAATAGTAAATAAAAATAAGATTTTCTTGGTTGAAACTTGCTTATAAGATTTGGAATGACTGGTGAAAATTTCTTATGATTTCTTAGATTAATTCTCTTTACTATTGCTAATAATGTAATTTGTTGATAAAACTAGGATAGTACACTTTAAAGTTAATCTAGCTTTTAAGTGAAACAGCATTAGTCAGGATGACGTGTTAACATACAATACATATTTTCATGGAATTAAGAAGGTGAATGATATTTGCTTCTTAGGTAGGAGCATAAGGAAGCACTAGAGTTTTTCGTTAGGGCTGGGGTAATCGCTCAGTGGCCCAGCATCTGCCAGGCTAGCCCAAGGTCCTTAGCTTGATTCCCTGTACATCCCCCTTCTTCCACACCCCCCAAAAATTCCTTTAGGTCGCTATTATTTTTGGACACAAGTTAATTGGGAAGAAAAGAAAAAGAAGATCCTAAATTACAAACATGGTTGAGCAACTGTTACCACTATATTGGCCCACTTTTATCTGTGATGTTGCATTTTACAGGTATACTTTCCACTGTCCAAAAATTAAATGGAAAGTTACAGAAATAAATAATTCATCAATTTAAAGTTGCCACCAATCCCAGTAGCATGATGAAACCTTGTACTGTCCTTGTACGGTACTAAGGATTGTGTTCCTCTTTTGTCTGTTGTATATGCAGCCCACCTGCTAGCCACCTGGTAGTAGCTATCTTGTTTTATCAGGTTAAATATCCATTTGCCTGTATTCAGGAACCCTTATTTTACTTACTACTGACTACAAAATGCAAGGATGGACTACATAGGGAATGGAAGCAGTGTAACAAGCCACAATGGGAATTTGGTGGTTTAATAGAGGTTAGGAAGTAGGCTAGTGTGGCCAGTGTGGAATTACAAAGTCACAGAGCTCCAGAGAACTCCAAGTGTATGATGCTTTCAGGAGTTCTGGCAATTTGGAGATCCCTAAAATGCCTTCTTTAAGTGAAAGTCATCCATTGAGGGTCTCGTAGCAGATAACACAAGATACTCTCGCATGAAATGGTGAGAATATTCTGTGCCGTAGTTATATGCTTGAAAATGAATCTTAAAGGGGATACAGATGAATGTCCATTTTGTATCTGTGTATTCAAAAGACTAAGATCTATATATAGTTGCATTCTCTTAATGAATAGAGGGATTTGTTCTAATAGTGTTTGTAAATAGGATATCATGTCTGCATCTTGTACAGCAATTAACCACTAGGAAGGATGTATGCAATGTGTTAATTATTGAAACTGTCCTACCAGTTTTGATTTGAAACTGTCTCATTGCTATTTGTTTCTCAATAAAATTATGGAAAAGAAAAGGAAAATGAATCTTATTGTGAATAATGAATTTTATTGTGATAATGGATATTTTATAATCATTTTATAGTTTTATTGTGAATAGTGAATTTTTATTATAATGAATATTATAGTCTTTTACCAACTATAATTTGAATTCATTTTATGAATTTTCATGTCTGACATTAAAAAGTGCTAGTCTTAGCAAATGTACCCGGTAGATTATAATAAATGTTATAAGTTTTTAAAGATACAGTTAAATTTTTATTGAATGAATCCATTGTGTGTGCAACATAGATATGCATGTATACCCTTTTGCTTTTTTTTTTTTTATTATTATTCACAGGTGCTAAACAAAGATGGAATGGTTGAGTTTTCTGTGACAAGCAATGAGACCATCACTGTTTCTCCAGAATATGTTGGCTCTCGATTGTTGTTGAAATTAAAGCAAATGGCAGAGGAATATCTTGGAATGCCTGTCATTAATGCTGTCATTTCTGTACCAGCAGAATTTGACCTAAAACAGAGAAATTCAACAGTTGAAGCTGCTAACCTTGCAGGTAATGCCGTCCTTTCTTGAGTTGTATTTCTCTCAAGATTTTGTTTTGTTTGAAATCTTGTATGGCAGAATTATGACTTTGTAAATTATAGCTGTAGGCACATAAACTATGTGGTAGGTAAATTAGATGAGTTTATATATATATTTTTAAAAGATACTTATGAAAGCTTTATAACTATGCAAAGTATATTTTCCAGAAGAGGAGCAAATCAGAGAGAAGACAGAGGCTGAGAGAGAATACTGAAGGATTTTGTTTTGTTCTAAAACTAGTGTTAAAATGAATATAATGGTTTCAAAAAAGCTATTCAACCAATATTAAGTGCTCTTGTAGATAACAGATAAATTCTGTTCTTACACAAGAAAACCAAATAAGCTCAAAATAAACACAAAATCAAATTCAGTGGTTAGGATCAATGTTGACCTTACAGGAAATTTAATTTGGTTCTCACGTAGTCCATTTTGCAACCAGAACAGCAGAAAGAATTAAACTTGCGAAATGAGTTATCACATTTGGGTGGTATAATTCTTTGTTGTAAGGAGCTGTCCTGTGCTTTACAGGGTATTATCAACATCTCTGCCCTCTAATTAGAAGATAGTTGCTGTGTCTGTCCCCACTAAGAAAAGATAGTCAAAAATGCCTTTATTCATTACCGTGCCCACAGGAGATAAAGTCACCTCTAATTGAGAAATACCATATATACGTATATGTGAAAGTAACAAGCTGTACACAAGAAGTGCAGGATAAAGGGATTGCTGGTCAGGGGATGGGACTTGTAAGGTTTAGAGTGGTCAGGTAGGTCTCTGTCAGAAAGATCTGACAGAAATGAGGTAGATAGCCATAGAGACACACGGAGGAAGTGGACTATGTAGGGAATGGAAACAGTGAAACAAAGTACAGTGGGAATTGTGTGGTCTAATGGAGGACAGGAAGCTGGCTAGTGTGGCCAGTGCAGGGTACGGAAGTCACAGAGCTACCGAGAAAGGTAGAAGAGTTCTTCAAAGCTTAAATATTGTTATATCTCCTGAGAGGTAGTGGCATACTTTGAAGATCACATTTTTAAAGTGTTGTTTATTTCTATTTAAAAAAAAATTTTTTTTGCGGTACCAGGAATTGAACTCTAGACCCTACACTTGGCCAGGCAGGCGCTCAATCTACTGAGCTATCTCCCCAGCCCTGAAGTGTTGACGTTTATGGTTGTTTTATTTTTATTTCATTTATTTATTTATTTATTTATTTATTTTTGGCAGAACTGGGGATTGAACTCAGGCCCTTGTGCTTGCCAGGCAAGCGCTTATTCTACTGAGCCATCTCCCCGGCCCTTTTATTTATTTTTATTTTTTATTTTTTGTTGTGTGTGTATGTTGAAGTTTAAACAAGGGACGTTGTCTTGTAACATCGCAGATTGAAGTTATCTCATTTGCACAATAATTCGTAATCGTGCATATTAATTAAAGCTCTACTGTGTATGTGTGCCTACGTAGAATATACTATTAAAGACTGGGAGACTTTGAAAATTAAATATTAATAAAGAGTAGAGATACCGTACTTCACTAAGCCTGGTGTTTTATGTCCTTATATTGAAAATTTTAGAATAATTTTAATGATGCCATGATATTTAACCTAACCTATGTTTATCATTTCATTATTTTTATTGAGTTTGTGACTTCTTTGGTTATTATGCAATAAATTTCATATCATAAAAGATAAATATGTTATGCAGTAAATGAGAATTTTTTTTTTTTTTTTTTTTTTTTTGGCAGAACTGGGGATTGAACTCAGACCCTTGTGCTTGCCAGGGAAGTGCTTATTCCACTGAGCCATCTCCCTGGCCCCAAATGAAAATTTTTTAATAGCATTCACTCACAAATTCTTTTTCCCCCCAACCAATCATACAGGACTGAAGATCTTACGGGTAATAAATGAACCCACAGCAGCAGCTATGGCCTATGGTCTCCACAAGGCTGATGTTTTCTATGTCTTAGTAATAGACTTGGGAGGAGGAACTCTAGATGTGTCTTTACTGAATAAACAAGGCGGGATGTTTCTAACCCGAGCAATGTCTGGTAAGAAAATAAGAATTAGAGGCTGAAACAATACTTTCTTTAAAGCCACCCCCAAAAATAAATAAATGAATGAATGAATAATAAAAAAATACTTAATGTGTGATATGTTTGTTTGTTTTCAGAATTATTTGACCGCATTTTGTACTTTTTTGTTTATGCTATTTGTATATGTCACTAATTTATGTGTGTGTACAGAAATAATTTGCATTAAAAGTGACAGGATAGCCTGTCAATCAGATTAAACAGCCAGGTCTAGAGCACTGAGCTAGTCAGGTTTTCATGATGATGGTGAAGGGAGCAGAGTTGAAAAATTTATTTTAACGTGCCGAATGATCAGTTCCTTTTATTTGATTATATGTTTCTGAAATACATATTTTTAGAAAATCTAATTTAGTGTTCCCCAAGACATCATAGTCTTCACTGTATATTTTTCTTGTTTAAAGTTATTGTTTGTAGAGTTTAGGTTAAGGACCTGAGACTATTGAAAAACTAAGCTGTAAGTTATGGTTGTAATAGCTACTTTTTCTTTCTTTTAGCTGCCCTCTGTCTCAAACCAAGTTAAATGCTGGAGACATATATTATATTGCTATACTCTTCCTTTAAAATGATCTTTTTTACTCTTCAGCTCTTAATCATGTAATCAAAAGTATGGAAAAAAAATCCTGCTGGTACTTTTAGTTGTAAAAAGCATTTTTTCTTTTGAGACTAGTGACATACAGTGTTTCTAAATAACTACCCAAAGAGCCAGCAATATAAAAAATTATCATTATTTCTATTTAAATAGTACTGTTTGGGTATAAAATTATTTTGTGTCCTTTTAATGTCTTTATATGCATAGTCTTAATACATTAACAAGGAACTTATGAATATTAATTTTATATATAAGTAAATGCATATAAATATATATTTATACACAAATATGGCTGTACAAATAAATAAGTTGTTTTTTTTTTTTTTTACTTTCTCACTTAGGAAACAATAAACTTGGAGGGCAAGACTTCAATCAGAGGTTGCTTCAGTACTTATATAAACAGATCTATCAAACATATGGCTTCCTCCCTTCTAGGAAAGAGGAAATCCACAGGTTAAGGCAAGCTGTGGAAATGGTCAAGTTAAATCTGACTCTTCATCAGTCTGCCCAGATATCAGTATTACTAACTGTGGAGGAAAAGGACCGAAAGGAACCTCAGGGTGAAGACACTAAACCAAAGGACAAACTTACCTCAGCAGATGGCCGCCATGTGAACAGTGCATTTGGACCTGGCCCTTCTGAAAAGAAAAGTAGAGAAAATCAAGTTTTATTTGAAACAGAAATATCCCGGAAGCTCTTTGATACCCTCAATGAGGATCTCTTTCAGAAAATCCTCGTGCCTATTCGGCAAGTGTTAAAAGAAGGCCATCTAGACAAGACGGAAATCGATGAGGTCGTTTTAGTTGGGGGTTCTACTCGTATTCCTCGCATCCGCCAAGTCATTCAGGAGTTCTTCGGGAAGGATCCCAATACGTCTGTGGACCCCGATTTGGCGGTGGTGACAGGAGTGGCCATCCAGGCAGGGATTGATGGCGGCTCTTGGCCACTCCAGGTCAGTGCTTTAGAAATTCCCAATAAGCATTTACAGAAAACCAATTTCAACTGAATTCTGCAGAAATGATGACTCTTTGTGATTTTTGTCTAACGATCTCTCCCTTTAACAAACCACCGGTTCCAAAAAAAAAAAATCTCTAAAGTGCTCATGGATTTACCTACAAGGCAGCATTTCCATATAGGAAAATTTTATGTAGCATTTTGTTTAGGATTAAATGAGACCAAATTGATCCTATTTGATTGTGGAGCAGACCCATTCCAACAAATACTTCAAAAGTGTTAGAATTGGAAAACGTAGTAGAGGAGTGTAGGTGGGTGTATATCCTGGTTTCTGGGAATAGATTACCATATGCGTCTAACGTGAAATAGTGCCAATTGTAAGATACCTAGTTCTTACTAAATTGCATTAGTAGGACTGGGTCATTTCTTTACTTGCATATCACATGTTACTTACTTTGGTCTATACTTGAAGGACATTGTTGATGCCAGGTATTTATGTGGGCTGGAAGATAGTATTATTAATCTGCATATCTAATACTAGCTGACATATACACATAACTTTCACAGCCCAGGATCCCACGATGTGTCATATGATTGCCATCTCTGGTCTCCAGATTCTTTTAATATACCTAACCGAGCAGTTTTATTTTGTTTCTAAAATAGCTAGTTATGCAAATTTTCTATGGTAGATAGTAGAAATGTTCAACTTATATTTCAGTTCCTTTATTTCTTCCACATCATTCTCTGGCTTTCTATGGTTCTGCCTGATTATAAAACAGTAGGGAATTATTAATTGCACAATAAAATCACCATTATTATCTCATTTTTATTCAAAACTTTTGTACACATTGTTAAATAACATTAATTCCTAATATATTTTATGCTTTTGCTTATATGTTCAATAAACCCATGTAGCATGCATGCATTTAACCTAGCAAATGTTCAGTTTTACTGAAATTTTCCTCCATATTTAGTTTTGCATGACTAAATTCAAATGTAAGGGGCCTTTTATTTTATGTTATTTTTAAATAGTTGTACTGTTTTCATCCAAATGCTTAGTGTATGAGAGTAAAAAATTGTGAATACTACAAATAAGTCTAATGTAGAAAACAATGTAGAAAATTTTATTACAAGTCCTCATTTATAGCAATTGTGTTTGTTTTGTTTCTTTTAAGAAAAACCACAGGGACCAAATATATATATATATATATATATATATATATATATATGTTCAATTGCCATAATCTGAAATACGGTATTGTTTTTCCTGTGCTGATGTAGGCTTCATATTAATATTCAAAAGTTATATTTGTGTTACTTTTTTTGTTAATGTAGAATATATCTGTTTTATCCAGTATTGAATTTAAAAGGATGTTGAGTTACCAGTTATTGAAAATTTAAGCAAATTTACTTAACCAACATCAAATCATTTCTACTTCTCATAATAAAAAAGTGAATGGTATTAAGGCTTTTTTGCAGTTCTAAAAAGAAAAATATTTCTTAGAAATGAAATTGTTGTTAAAATATGAACATCAGTCATGCTTTTATGTACAGAAAATGTGTAGTAGGAAGATAGGAAAAATATAAAATATTATGTTTTTAGAATTAATGGAGAAATGCCAAAGATGAATCCTTCACTGCATTATGAAAATAAGTATTCTCTTGGACTTCATTTAAGGCTTTTATAGATTTTAGAGTTGAAAATTATCTCTGAAAGTCTTTGAGTGAAGAGTGTTGAATTTATTTCAGAAATTCCACATAGCGTCAGTTGTAACCTAAAGCATTTTAAGATTTAAAAAAAAAAAAAAAAAGAAATTTCTCAGATGTTTGATATGGTTTAAGGCAATCTCTTAACTCTTTTAAAAGAAAAATTGTAAAACTGGGCAACTAATCTCAAACTAGAAGTGGAATTGAAGTAACATGTTGAGAAATGTTGGAAGTTAGGGGCACTAGTGTAACATATCCTCTAGAGTAGACCTTTTAAAAAAGGAATTTATGTCACCTGTCATGTTTTAGGGTATATATGTGTATATGTATGTAATTTGATATCAGTATAGTTTATTTAAAAAGTAATGCATTCTGAAAGGGGTTATTCATGAATAACAGCCTGAAATCATTTTTCATAAAATGAAGTTTTTGTTGTACATTTGGCTGATGTTTTTTGAAGTATATAACTAAAAATACTGTCTTGTGTAATTAGAATTTGTGAATGAGTGATTTATTTTTTACAAGGAATGTGTTGGTACTGTGTTTGTACTCATACCACTAACCAACAGGTATTACTGTATGTATGTAGTATGTAGTGAACATTACAATTCATGTACAGAACAGATTGTGCCTCTTAAATTTGTGTATATACGTATTCCACATTTTAATGTAAATAAATCCCATTTTGCAGTTGTTTTTTTAAACAGTGTACTTTTTTTTTCATTCAGGACAAAGCTGCAGTACATTTTTGAGGTATATAAAAACAGAACTGGGGGTAGAGTTGATCTGATGCTTATGCCCTCTGCCTGAGTAGTCATTACCTAGTTCCAGAAATGTACATTTTTCTGCATTCTATCTGAGAGTTCTGATATATTTTCTACTTACTAATTTAAAAGAGGTAATGCCTACACTATGTTAAAATTCTAAATAATAATTCATGTCTTCTAATTATGCTGAACCTAAGAGTTAAGCTTGTTTGTATATTCAGTAAGTGATCCTTTATAACAGACTACCATAACCCTTTCATAGATGGCTAATACTTAATTTTCTAGCAGGCTTTTTTTTTTTTTTTTTTAAACAAAATTGCAACCTTTTAAGCCTGTGTGATCATTGTAGTCTTTTGTAAATGAACACTTGTGAAATGTGGACTTGGTCTCCAGGACTATTTCTTGTTATTTAAACTGCTCTGTTCAAAGACTCAAAGATATGATACAGTGTAGTGACACTTTAAAATTCAACGAAAACCTACAGTATCTTTTTAAATTTAACAGATACAAAGTGCCTCATTGAGATCAGCAGCCTCTAATATGATTCCCAGTAATGTCTATGTAGAGTGTAGACCTTGGTTAAACCTCTTGCCATGAATTCGGGGAATATTAATGATTCAGTGCTAGTGTACAATATGGCAGAAGAGCTCGGCTTCTGTCTCAGATGCATCCTTTCTTGAAGCTCCTGCCCTTAGCTCATGAGGGGCCCACCTCCATGAATAGGTTAATACATTATTCTCCCCTCTCTCCTTTTTCTTTCCTTTCTCCTCTCTCTCCCTTCTCTCATGGGCTAACAGTTGTGCCTTCCACCATAACATAGGGGCCTTCCACCATGAGATAGGTGACAGCCGAAAGCCCTCACTAGAGGTGGTTTCTGACTTGAACCGTGGCCCAGTCTGACAGTGTGTTACAGCAACAGAAAATGAACTAAGAGGAGCTAAAACATCTTTTAACTAGTATTTATAAAATATGGGTCAAAAATTCAGGGGTTATAAAGCCAGGGCATGTCAAGTAGTTTATATTCTAATGAGAGGAGACTAAATAGTGTAGGGATTTAAAGTTTAAGACAATTTCATAAGCAAAGTGAAGAAGGTTTTCTGTACAAGATTAATGTGAAAGCAGACAACACAAAAATTGTTTCCTGGGCCTTAAAGTGTATGTTCAGTTTGTTAAAAATCTTTGTCTTGTAATAGTTGATACATTGTCTGCTTGAGAAGTTTAGAAGCTTAACTAAGTACTGAACAGTTCTACTTCCTATGGTACAGAATAGCCCTAGGTGATAGTTATACTCTAGGATGTTGTAATGGTACGTTCATTTTGTCCAATTGAGAAATTTAAGTGACTCGGCAGGGGCCAGGATCACTCTGTAAACATCCTGAGCCTGTGCACGAGGAGCACATGGAGGTGGACGATGGCATGAGAGCGACACTCACCCTACGGCAAGCAGCTTGCAGAGGATATAAAGGAAAAGCATCTTGTTCTTACCTCCTTTTTGCTCATGGTGCTTTGCTATCTTCTCCTGCCTTGAACTGCTGCCCCTGTGCCATGCTACCCAGCATTGGAGCCAGCTGAGTATGGACTGAAACCTCCACCAACTGTGAGCTCAGAAAACCTTGACTTCCTTAATTGTGGGTATCAGGCATTTTGTTTCAGCAATGAGAGAAAAGTTACTGACACCTGACTTTAAACTTTGAACACTTCAAATTTGAAAGGTAATCGGACAATACTGCTTCTACTACATAAACCTATGAAATGAAAACCCCTCCAAAATATGATTAGTGATAAAAATCAGTATCTTGAATGTATACTAGCTAATTCATATCTTGTTGAGGGTGATGTAATAACAAATCATATTGTATAGCTCCATAGAAAATACTTCTCACTCAAAAGCAAACGACAAAAATATAAAACATTTCTAAATGAAACATCACAAAACTCAGTTAATAAGAAATTACCAAAAAGATTTTTTCCCCCTTTTATTTTTAAAACACTGTTCAGTATCTTAGGTTTCTGTGATCCCCCTGTTATAGTTTGTGTATAGTTGTCTCCCCAAAGCCTCATGCAGTCTTGGGGCAGCTTCTGGAGTAGACTGATTCTTGGTCCACTGCTGGGATTATGGGTGTGAGTGTCCTGGGGCAGGCAATTTGCATTACAGTATAAGGAAGGGAGAGAGGCTACCTAGCTGCCTGAGCTACTGTCACTCTTGCCTCATCCTGAAAGGTCGCTCTCTGCTGTGTACCACTGCCTTGGAGCCAGTGGAGTATGTACTGAAACTTCCACTGACTGAGCTAAATAAATCTTTCTTTCCTTCATTTAAGATGTCAGGTATTTGTCCCAGCAACAAGAGAAGAGTAACTGAGACACCCTCCATCAGACTACAGCAGTTCACTTGCTGCGTTGTTTCTTCTACCTCCCTTTTTTTTTTTTTGCCAGTAGTGTCTCAGACAGAATAAAATAGCATTTTATTCCTTATCCCTTTAATTAGCATTGGTGTACTTACAATAAACTAAAGAACTCTTTGGGGGCTCTGGTGCTGCTTCCCCGTAAGGCCAATCAAGTCTCTAAAGACACTGGAGTGGCTCACCTGAGATTTTCTCTCCTCTGTGAGATCTCATATAACAGCTTCTTGGGAAGAACCTGCACAATCTTCAGTG